GGGTGGTGGCGGCGAGGGTGGCGGTGGGCTCGGAGGCGGGGGCGACGGCGGCGGCGGGCTCGGCGGCGGCGGGCTGGGAGGCGGTGGCGAGGGTGGCGGCGGCGAGGGTGGCGGCGGCGAGGGCGGCGGCGGGCTCGGTGGCGGTGGCGAGGGTGGCGGTGGGCTCGGAGGCGGGGGCGACGGCGGCGGCGGGCTCGGCGGCGGCAGGCTGGGAGGTGGAGGCGAGGGTGGCGGTGGCGAGGGTGGCGGCGGCGAGGGCGGCGGCGGGCTCGGTGGCGGTGGCGAGGGTGGCGGTGGCGAGGGCGGCGGCGGCGAGGGTGGCGGCGGCGAGGGTGGCGGCGGCGAGGGCGGCGGTGGCGAGGGCGGCGGTGGCGAGGGCGGCGGCGGTGACGGAGGTGGTGGCGATGGAGGCGGGGGCGAGGGCGGCGGCGGCGAGGGCGGCGGCGGGCTCGGTGGCGGTGGCGAGGGTGGCGGTGGCGAGGGCGGCGGTGGCGAGGGCGGCGGTGGCGAGGGTGGCGGTGGCGAGGGCGGCGGTGGCGAGGGCGGCGGTGGCGAGGGCGGCGGTGGCGAGGGCGGCGGTGGCGAGGGCGGCGGTGGTGAGGGCGGCGGCGGTGACGGAGGTGGTGGCGATGGAGGCGGGGGCGAGGGCGGCGGCGGAGGTGGTGGCGATTGAGGAGGAGGGAGTAATGGCGACAATGAAAGTTTGGTCCTCGCTATGGTACGGCTCACCAGATGCGACAGGAGGGCTAAAATCCGGAATATAGACTGCCAAGAGGGTGCTCTAGGCCGCGAAGACACCACACACGGTCTCCCTACTCATGCGCGGCTAGCAGGAGGGTGCCAAAAATGTGAATGAAACCGCAGCTAGCTGGCCCCGCCGGCGGGTAGCACAGGTCATGAGTGAGGCCACGCCAGCTGCCTCGGGTGCTCCGTGTGGTCGGCCTGGACCGTGCCGCAAGCCTCGAGCAGCGGAGAAGCGCTGTCCTTGAAGTCCAGACATGCTTCGCCGCCGTGGCGCAGCGCCGCAGTGCGAGCGAGCACTGCAGCTGCAGTGCTCGCTCGCACTGCGGCACCCATCGACTCCCTGCGCTCCGGGCACATTGGCAAATGTGCCGGCGGCCTTGTGGACGGCTCGGGCACGAATTGCACGACGGCGCGGCGTCTCGAGGCGGCCGTGTTGTGAAAACGAAGCTGTTGCGAAACCGAAGCCCGGACCTGTACACTGTCTCAGCCTGTAGTAAATCATCAAAATGGAGCGCACAGGCACTAACACTCTCGGCTCACTGTAACACAGCTCACAGGCTGATGTATTCGTTCCACGTTCGCCTGATGGAGATTGTTCGGGCATTGTCCTGCGGCCGGTGGTTATCCGTAACCCTCCGGGGGCGGGTCCATGTAGAAAGTCTTCCAAGATGTAATCCCCCCGTGGTAGTCCGGGGAACCACAAGTAAGTAGACAGCATGACCCGATATTTTGATTAACGTCGTTCGCCATGTTGTGCCTAAAGCCAATGATGGGCCCCCCGGCCCGTAAAAGCTGTTGACACATTCAGCGAGCCTCATGCAGTCTTCGGGCGAGGGGTTGGTTTCGCATGGACAAGCGTCAGGTCCGCTGGCCATATGGCCTTGATAGTCGGAGCAGTCCCGGCCTGGTTCGCCGCCCTCGTCCGGAGTAGCGGGGCACCCACGTGAGCCAGCCCACTCAGCTTCTAGGCCAAGCG